TTTTTTTTTTCATCCTGCCTCTTCGGTTTGGTATCGGGACGTCCGAGCTCCATTTGGCAGAAGCTTTTGGGAAATTTTTTCGCTTAGCGAGAGAGTCACCTTCTGCCCGGCCGGGCTGAGGTTGATTTGGGAGTTGGCTGCTGCGTCGCCACAAAAGCTCGGAGCGCTCGAGGTGCTCCTTCCTTCCTAACCCGTTCTCCGCCAAAGAGCCACCCAACTTCATCCTCCTCCTTCCTCCCATTCCTCGCATCTTAGCTCAGTCGACAATGTCTGCAAGCAACGGTAACGGTCTTCAGGTTCCCCAGGACGTGGCGGTCCTGTCGCCTGCCCAGGCGCTCGAGCACCTCAAGACCTACGCCACCGGCGATGGTCTCAGCATGAGTGAGCTCATCGACTCGCGCCAGCACGGCGGTCTCACCTACAACGACTTCCTCGTGCTGCCCGGCTTCATCAACTTCCCCGCCTCGGACGTCAGCCTGCGCACCAAGGTCACCAAGAACGTCACGCTCAACACCCCCTTCCTCTCGTCGCCCATGGACACGGTCACCGAGACCGAGATGGCCATCGCAATGGGCCTCATGGGCGGCATGGGTGTCATCCACAACAACATGAGCCCGCAGGAGCAGGCTAGCGTCGTCCGCAAGGTCAAGAAGTACGAGAACGGCTTCATCACCGAGCCCCTCTGCCTCGACCCCAACGCCACTGTCGGCGACGTCCTCGAGATCAAGGAGCGCCTCGGCTTCGGCGGCATCCCCATCACTGGTAAGTTTCCGCCCTTCCGTTCCGCCTCCTTTTCCCCCAAACCTCCCACTTCAAAAGATGAAACAAACATATTGCATATAACCTTCGTTCTTCCGAGCCTCTCCCTTAGACTTGGGAGAGTGTGTGCGGATGCGATTACATTCTGATTCCTTCCCCGCTCCTCTGCGCCGCTTTCGCACTTTTATCGGGACACGCGAGCTGACCACAATACTGCTATTTGTCGGCTCTATCAGACACGGGCGCCATGCATGGCAAGCTCGTCGGTATCGTCACGGCTCGCGACGTGCAGTTCCGCGACGCCGGCCTGCCGCTCTCGCAGGTCATGACCACCGA